TGCTCTTTTGTTATAGCTGGAGAGGAGAAGCTGCTGATAAGCCGTAATGCGGGTGATAACCTTCTCGCGTTTTTCCTCTGCCAGGTCTAAGTTAATGGCAATCTGCTTTTCGTTCTGTTCGAAATTCGGCAGTACAATGCTGATGCTTGGCACTACGATGTTGGGATGAATGATTGCCTCAGAACCATACGCTAAGGAGAATGAAGTTTCACAGGTTGTTTGTCTTTTGGTGGTGTGATATGCCGATAGAACACCGGGGAGCTCGTCTGGCCACTTGCCTTTCTTGTTTGAGAGGGTCTTCTTGAGGTAGTCAATGATGGTCTTGTTAGACGCCTCAGCCTGCCCATTGCCTTGTGGATATCAAGGTGTGGACACGTGCTACTTGATGCCATATTTTTCGAAGAACTTCGCCAAGTCCTTGCCCACGAACTGTGGACCATTGTAGGTGACAATGGAGTATGGGATGCCGAAGCGGCAGATGATGTTCTTTCATATAAAGCACTTTATGTCTGTCTGGGTACTTGTAGTCATGGGTTCGGCTTTGACCCATTTTGTGAAGTAATCAGTCGTTACAATCATCATGCCTCTGCCCCTAGTGGTAGCCTGCATAGGTCCTACCAAGTCAATCGCCCATTGCATGAATGGCCAAGGGCTCGTCTACAGGTGAAATTCGCTGGCAGGTAGTGCAAGCACGAGCTTGAAGTGCTGGCAACTACCGCATCTTTGTACATACTCCTTAGAGTCTTGATGCATGGTCAGCCAATAATAGCCAGCATTGAGAGCTTTTTGCTCTAAGGAATGGCCTCTAGAGTGATTTCCATAGACGCCTTCGTTGATTGAGCTAAGAATCTTCAGGTCATCAGGAGGCGATAGGTAGCATAGATGTGGTCCTAAGAAGGATTATCTAACGAGCATGCCATTCCACATGTAGTAACGTGCTGCCTTCATCTGGAGCTTCTTATACTCCAGTCTATCTATGGGGAGCGTTCCATTAACTATGTAGTCAATGATGGGATCTTGCCAACTCAGTATTGTGCTGATCTGCACCACCTTGACTGATGGTTCCTCATCTATTCTTGGCTTTTCCAAGTACTCGACTGAAATAGAGCACTTGAGCTGATGGTTTAGTGTAGAGCCTAGGCTTGGTAGTGCGTCTGCATGGGCATTTTTACACTTGGAACGTCACTAGTTAATCTCGTACATTCTCGAGGTATCGGGCTATCCTTGGATGCTTTGCTGCGTACTCCCATGGGCTATCCTTGGATGCTTTGCAAGGTCTTTTGCCAATCAAAGACCTACTAACAGGGCTTTATACTCCGCTTCCTTGTTTGATGCTTTGAAGCTTATAGTGATTACCTACTTGAGCATCGAGCCATCCGTGGTAGTAAGAACTAGGCTTGCCCTCGATCCTTGATGGTTGGATGATTCATTGCCAAAAATCTCCATCAAGTAGGGCTGGTACAGCTATGATATGCTCGAGGCTTTTGAAATACTCAGTTTTCTTCCTTTCCGGGAATACCTATGCAAACAAATGACACCAAAAGCAAAAGTATCTCATATCATCAGGGTAGAAAGCAAGAGTATCTCATATCATGCAATCTCCCTGTCCTTTTTTTGTCCTTGTTTTTACCTGCAAAGACAAGGATAAAGAAAGCAATATGTCGGAACCTCCACTCAAACTCCCTCGGAACCTCCACTTAAACTCCCAGTCAAGAACCGACTGCTTGGAACCCTTCCCTGATTGTTTACCTAGCACTGCTCTCGAAGTACCCATTATTTCAACATCTTATGCTTCTAGAGAAGATACCACATCTGCCCGAAGAACTGATAAGGCAAGGGAAAATGATACATTGAAACATGTGGAGACAAGCACAACAAAGCACGAGTTGATTCATCCGCTACTCTTCAAAATCAAAAGTATCTCATATCATCAGCGTTACAATGACTCTGGGTTTGGTGGACTCGTTTTGACCCTCAAACTCTTGGGTCGACTGGCTAGGCGTTGTGAGCTGCACGTGCCGATTCACCACCTTTGAATCAAATCCTTAAAGCTCAAGTCACCAACTAGAAGAATAGCTCACCACTCTTGAAGATCATACCATTGACCAAACTGCTCAGGTGTGAATTAGAAAGATTGAACAAAGAAACATGCCATCACCTTCAACTCATGCCTATTTTCCATATGTTCGAATCAACCTTCAAGATCAAGTCTCAACGGCCCTTGAAGAAGCTTCCAGCCCAATTCAAGATCAAGCATCGACGACCCTTGAAGAAATCACAAGTACGATACAAAATCAAGTGTCCATCACCTTTGAATCAAATCCAGCTCCACATAAAAAAGGAGTAAGTTCAAACAATTTGACGAAACCAGAAAGTCTTCCAACCCAGTTCAAGAATAAGCCTGTGGAAAGTCAACAATTGGAGGAAACCAGAAAGTCTTCCAACCCAGTTCAAGAAAGACCTCCAACCCAGTTCAAAAAAGTCCTTCAACCCAGTTCAAGAAAAGCCTGTGGAAAGTCAACAATTGGAGGAAACCAGAAAGTCTTCCAACCCAGTTCAAGAATAAGTCTGTCGAAAGTTAACAATTGGAGGAATCCAGAAAATCCTCCAACCCAGTTCAAGATCAAAGCAGTGGAAAGTCAACAAGCGCAACAAAATACGTGCCGATTCATCCACTACCAAAGCCAAAGATCATCTACCACGTGAAGCTCCTTGTGGTCCAATTTCAACCTTCAAGATCAAGCCTCAACGACCCTTGAAGAAATTTCAAACAAAGTTTAAGAACAAGCCTCAACAGCATTTGAAGAAACTTCCAGCCCAATTCAAGATCAAGCCTCAACGGCCCTTGAAGAAATCTCCAGCCCAATTCAAGATCAAGCCTCAACAGCCCTTGAAGAAATCTCCAGCCCAATTCAAGATCAAGCCTCGATGGCCCTTGGATTGACATCTATATTAAGAGACTTCAAAACGCATATCTTACACGTGACAAGCACATGTATACGACACGCCTTGAAGTGGGGGCATTTGTAGACATCGAAATTTCGGTGAAATAAATGTTGACCAATAGTTATAATTTCAACGCTCACGTGCCATATAAATTTTACACATAACGTGTGACTAAACGAAAAATCAAAATAAATCAAAACAGTCATCAAACAGAACACGTGTCAACACCTAGCAGAAATGATTTATTTCATCTGATTATTTAAATCCAAAAATCAAGTTTTGGAATTCTATAAATAAGAAGCCAAGGCATTCATTTTGGGAAACCAATTCATAACCAATTCACCTGACACCAAAACCTTGAAGCTTTGAAACTCCAAAGCTCCCAAGCAAATCCCGAAAGATCAAGAAAAGCTTTTTTCATTCTTCGTCAACTCAACCTTCAAGATCAAGCCCCAACGGCCCTTTGAAGGAACTTCCACCAATTCAGGATCAAGCCCCGACGCCCCTTAAAGAAAGTGTTCATCGTTCATCATCCGTTCATCCTAAAATCAAGCCCCAACGGCCCTTTGGATCAACAACATCAACAAATCCACACATGCAGATCAAGCCCCTTTGGATCAAGCCCCATGTTGATCAAGCCCAAAAGCCCTTGAAGATCTATCCAACTGTTCATCCAATATCAAGCCCCAAAGGCCTTTAAAGATTCGTTCATCAATAGTTCTTCAAGATCAAGCCCAAAAGCCCTTGAAGATCCGTTCATCCATCAACTTTCAAGATCAAGCCCAAAAGGCCTCTTGAAGAAACTTTCAACCGTTCATCCAAGATCAAGCCTCGACGGCCCTTGGATCAGCATTACAATCCACAAATCAACACCTTACAGAGATCGAATCAGATGATCAAATTTGAGAGAGATTCTAACCCCTAAATCATTAATACAAAATATTATTTTGTACACGTGTTCTTGTCTCGTTTGTTTCAGGAATTTCCATGTTTACACTCTCCTTCTCAGTTGGACTCAGACGTGAGTCGATTCTAGCCGTCTTTTCCGGCTAGTAGGGGTCAAGAATGATGTTTTCGATGTTTTCTTTGGGTTTCCATCCTGATTCATCTTCCAGGGCATTGTCGACCTTGACGCCATCTTTTTGACCTACCTACTGTAAATGCTATTTGGCGGAGGTGGAGTCGTCTTTCTACATTTCAGCTGCTACTGCTGGGGTGAAAGACTTCTTATTCAACTTCTTGAGAACTTGTATAGTGCATCGCTTAGACATGGCTTGGTCGCCTTTGAATTCTCCGACTGCTTCTCCCGAGATGCGAAATCAGGTTTTCTGGTACTCGATCGAGGTCACATCTTCAATCTTCACTAGCCATGGTCAGCCTAATATCCCATTATGGGGAGATGGGTTGCTGACGATCATGAAGGTCTGCGATGAGAATCGGTGGACTGGTTACGTCGAGTGTGATAGTGTCAATGATAGTTGAGGTGAGTTCGTTGAATCTGGTTAAGACCTCTGCTTTACGTTGGATAGTGTTTTCCAGGCCCATTTTCTGGATAACTGATAGTTGTAGGAGGTTGACTGAGCTGTCGTTGTTGACCATGACTCTGTCAACGATGGCATGGGCCAGTTGTATAAAAATCACTAGGGCGTCGTCGTGGGGAAAGTCTACTCCATCAGCGTCCTGCTCGGTAAAGCCGACGATTGGTCCAGGTACACATCTATGGCTTAAACCCGATTGATCGATCTTGATTGCTGGATCTTCCTCTTCTTGGATTTATTTATGGCCCCCAAATGCTCGGATTCGCCAAAGATTCCATTGATTCGAATTGTTTTGGTTGGGGGCTCGGCAACCGCATCTTCTTCTCGTCTTAGCCGGGCAGCTAGTCTGTCGACATACTGGTCGCACTTGCCTTCCTTCATGAGCTGCTCAATGTACCTTTTCCATGTGGTGCAATCATTAGTTGTGTGCCCATGACCTCTGTGGAATGCGCAATATTTGGTCTGGTCCATCTTGGAGCTGTCGCTCCTTAAAGGTGGCGGCAGCTTGAACCATGGCTAGTCCTTGAGGTCCTGAAGGATTTGGTTGATCGAGGTTGAGAACCTGGTGTACGTCTTGGGCGCTATGCCTCCCTTTGATGGGGATTGGTCCCTGCATTTATTTTCTGGCTTGCTTTTGATGTTGAGCAGTTTATCGCTCGCCTTATTCTGAGTTGATTCCACGGCTCTGTGCGGTTGCTCGGGCAGCTTCTGATAGCGCTTTTCCTCATCCCAGAAAGAGTGATTTTCTGCCAAAGCATAAGAGTTTGCCAAGGACAGGTTATCGCCCATAAGTAATTCTCTGAAAAACTGGTGATCTGCTAGAAGACCATTTCTGAAAGCTGAACATGCGATGCTATCATCGCATCCGACGATCTTTTCCTTCTCTGCCTTGAATCTATTAACATATGTGCAGAGCGACTCCTTCGGGTTCTTCTTCATGTTGAAGAGGTGGTCAGACTTCTTTTTTATCAAGCGGTAGGACGAATATTCCTTAATGCAAACCAAGGAAAGTTCGTTGAAGTTCTGGATTAAACATGACGGCAGGGTGTGGAACCAGTCTTGTGCCTCACCTTGGAGCATCATGGCGAAGATCTTGCACATGAGAACGTCATCGTTGGCATAGAGTATCATGACACTTCGGTAATGCATCAAGTGCCTATCAAGATCTGCATCTCCCTTGAATAAGGTGAAGTGTGGCGGGCTGAACTTCAATGATGGCTCCATTTGCTCAATCTCATCTGTAAATGGTGACCTGCTCAGGTTGGCCACGTCTCTACGGAGGGCATCGTATGTAATGTCAATGTGATAGAATCTGTGCAGCTGCTCTGCTACGAGTCTTTGTACTTCCTCCTGGATTTGTGCCTGGTAGGGTAGTGGAGCCTTCAGTTGCCCCTAGTGCTGACCTGTTGGTCCATGCTGCTCTTTGGCTCGTCCTGCTTTTCTGTGCCACGGTTGTGATACACATGGTTCACCTTGTGCTGCTCGATGTCGCTCTGGACAGGGGCTGCTAGTGGAGCTTGAACTGGTCTGCTTACGTGCTTTTATCTGGGCTTTAAGCAGCTACCTACTCTGTTGCCTCGCAAGAGGATCTCCTTGTAGGCCTAGCCTCGTGTGGACGCTTCGCTTGGAACATCCTGAGTGCTCATCTGAATGTGGACCCAACCTCGAATGCACACTGACTCGTGAACCAAGTCGGGAATGAACATTTATCTGTGCATCTAGGAGGGAGAATACGTTTCCCCGAAGGCCCAAACGAGAGTGCACACTACCTGAACGCATGGTTCATGGTGGGCTGAATTGCTCTTTGTCGGAACGTCGTTGGAATAAGTCACGTTCTCCCACCCTTGTCCTGCTTCGGGACACCTCATATAAGATGTGATGCATCTCGATGCACTCGATGAGCTAGTTCACCAAGGTGGTCTACTACGCGAGGTCGTTCATCAAATTAGCGACCTGCTGGGGCAGGTAGTGTTCGCCATTTGGATTGGAAGAGCTTGGATGATGGGCGTCTCCATGTGTGGTGGAGGTATAGTGGGCTACAGGTATAAAGCTTGAGCCCAAAGCAGGCATTCACCCAGAAAAACGGGCAGTAAGTAACCCTAAATCAATCACGAGACCTGTGGTCGGAATCTGGATCACTGGAGGTGGCCTGGAATAGATTGGGTCGCTGGCCGGATCGTCAGAGTGGGTCGTGGGGTGCGTTGGACTGACGCTTGCTCGCCTTGGATCTGCATGGCCGTGGACCATCATGGTCGTTAGGTTGCCACATCTTGGCTTGTTGGCTGAATGGCTTGGGCTTGGGCTTGTTGAGCTGCCTGACTGGCAGCAGCTGCCGAATTCCAAGCTCAGGTTCGGGCTTACTGTGTAACAAGGCCTGCTGCTGCATTGGGCTAAGCCTCTTGCCTAGGGCTTGATGTGGCAGCTGCCAAGTTCTGGGCCTCCTCCCCATGTTCTTGGAAGTGGACTTGGGCCTCCTGCCTAGGGTTTGGTAGGAGTGATGTCGTGGCCTGGTGGCCTTGTAGTGACTGCTGGGTCACGGTGGTGATAGTGGTGGCGCGGCTTCGCTGCAGTGGGCTATGTCCTCGTCTCCACTCTCTGGTCCACATCTTTCCACGTATGGGGTTCCGTTCGTCGTAGTTTCTGAATTTCCTACCATTGTATCCTTTCTCCAGGGATTGATCAAGAAACTTTTCTAGAAAAAAATTAATTGATATGACGTGTGAGAAATTCAATGTAACATAAAATTTAAGAAACTAATGCGAGAGGCTTCTTCAAGTATTTTGAATCAGCTTTCAATGAAAGCACCAATTTGTCGATGCAAATTTCCGCCGTCTTCAGTCTTGACGAAAATGTACCTACAAAACAATCAACACCTTTGATCAAAGACCTAAGGCTCACGACTGAGAAAGTAAAGTGTTTAAGGCTTTTTTAGGGTTGCAAAAGCTCTCCAAATTTGGTAGAATATGGGGTATTTATAGGGTTAGGGTCAACCGTATAGTGTTTAATGGAGAGATATTCTCTAAATATTCCCAAGATATTAAATAGGAAATAATATCTTGAGATAATAGTGTAATTATCCTAATTTAAATAAATTAGGATTACTTACTTGATTGGAGCTATTCTTCAAGTAGGAATGTATTAAAGATAGGATTTGGGTAATTAATCCCTATCTTTAATTCCTTGCCAATGGCAGGTGAGCTGTGGGCAGTTGTGTTCAGCTGCTGAGTCCTTCAGGGATGTGAGCTGTGCGTGGGACCATCTAAGAAGCCTGCCCATTTATTGAGAGTAATCTTGTCCTTCTGAAATAAAAGTCCACGTGTCGCTTCTAGAATATTTGGGATTATTTTGGGCTCCACAAGAATGTTAACAAAAAGTTAACGAAAATGTTAATTTTGAACTTGAATCTTAACGGTTTTCACCACGAGAGTTTAAATCATAATTTTTTCACCATAGAGCTATCTTTTGATTACTTTATCACAACAGTAACCATTAATCCAATTTGGCCATACAATTGCCAATTAGTACTATGGTCTACCGGTATTCCTCTTCACTTGTAAGTGAAAACTCTTAGGTTTGATTCTCGCCAAAGGTGAATTTGAACCACATTGTTGCTAACTCATTGTGAAACTTAGTCTATTCTTCATTTCTTTAATGTAAATAATATCGTTTGTTAAATAAATAAATAAAAGTTTGGCCCTACAATAACAAAAAGCGTGTATGGTGAACAATATTGGAGTAATTGTTTGGGAACTATCATTATTATTTTGGGAATTGTTTACAGTATATGCACTTGACTATCGTCATGTATGGTCAAATATAACATTTCTATTTTTTGGTTGCATATATGGTTAGATAATAAATATATTAAGTAAATACGTGCCATAGCCAACCTCTTTATATCCATGTAGATTCGATGTTATAATATGGTGGTTCAGTTGGTGACTTCAAAGGTGCAACTTTCACGCTGGAAAAGGAGGGCAAAGCTGCACTATTGTGAAGTTGTTACATGTGAATGTAGTGGAATTTATTATAATATAAAGAGATGGCAGAATTGATATATAAACAAAATGACATATCGTATGTTGTAAATTATTATATAAAGAGATGACAGCATTGATATGTCCCACGTTTCTATTCGAAGGGAAAAAAAACAAGGACAGAGCAAAAACAGGCCAAAATATGGCAACAAAAATGATAACAAGCAAAAGCCCAGAGAGAAACGAGACAAACCACAACATATCATCCCAAACTGCCAACTATCTGATCTTCTAATTAATCTAACGATTAAAAACGATTTACGGATGACACTTTACAGTAACATATAACAATAAGGAAAAATTACACATAGATGATACTTTTAATTTTTTATTTTTTATTGAGACATCATTTTTCAAACGTTTTAAGGAGAGACAAAAATTAATAAATAACATCATTGTCATTTTTTCTCTGGAATGTAAATTACAAAAATACCCAAACGCCTTCAATTCTTTGCTGACAAGGGCCTACAATTCTCCGGAGGGTATTGATCGAGTTCACTTGTATCCCACCTTGCCCAACTTGAAGCTGTAATCGAAGTCGAAAAGCAAGCCGCGAGGGATTTGATTCGTGACAAGAAAAAGGAAAGAGCTTGTTAGCATTACAATTCTCTCTTTCTGATTCACTTTCAATTCGCAGACATGATCAGAACCTGGAGGCTGGAGCCGCCTTCCTCTACCTCTTTAATTCTTTCTAGGAACTTTAATGAAAACTTTTGGTATTGTCTATTTTAACAAAAAATTATATTTTTACACTAAAATTTAATTCTGTCATTATTTACTTTACCCTTTATTTTATCCTTATCATTAAAACTCAAAATTTACAAACCATTTTCATTAATTTTTCTTTCTTTTTTCTACTGCTTCCTTGTTCCTCAGTAATCTTTTGTATGCATGTATGTACGAATTTGCCTGTTTGTTTGTCGAATTGTTGAATTTGTTGCCAAATTCAAGAGCCCATTTATTGCTTTCAGTGGCACACAAAAAATAGGTGAAAGAGAATTTATGCCCTTAGGCTTACATTAAAAAATGCAGAGAATTAGAAATGGTGAAGATGCTTTGTTTTGGTTACGACCCAGAACAAAAAGATAGCTCCATTTTTTTTTTTGTGCACAAGACGCAAACAAGAAGAGAGTAAAAGAAAAGCCATGGACAGCCTCATTCGAAGAGAATAAGAAGAGCTCCTGCTCTCCACATTATGTAAGCAATCACTCCATCAACTCTAAGGACAGATTTTTTTTTTTTTTTTTTTTTTTCAGGTTGAATTGATTGAATTTTAAAATTTGATGTATAGGTTTTTCACATCTTCATTTTGTAATAGAGAAATCGTTATTTTTTATGCGGAAGGAATGATACATGCTTACACAAGTTGAAGTCAATTCCCTCTTTATAAATCACTTTAAGTGGTTAATGACACACCCCGATCAGGAATGTCCACCTAGACTCAAAATTGAGCTATGCTGGCCAACACCAGGAGGGTGACGAAGCCATAAAGTGTAGTGATGTGGAAATTGTGAATAAATTTAAACCTAAAAGTGCCTAAATATAAAAGTGCACATGTGAGTGGGAATGAACCAATTTCACATGTGATGTAATAAGTAAAGTACAGTAAAAGTAAAAGAGGAATTATACTGTCGATAGTATTCCCACAACAAAATTTAGCCAAAAATCCTCATCGACACGAAAGCTCTGCCACTAATACCTGGAGGGGCAAAAAATAAAGGTAAGTGGGCCTAAAAAAATAAAGCTTTGTAAAAACCTTTTCGAAAACATAATAACCATTCGCCGTAAAACAAGTATAGTTTCCAAAATAGGTATACTACGTATAATATGAAAATACTTACCATAGCCAATAGTATATGAAGAATGCAATACGTCACAAACTTTCGTAAATAACACATGATGTCTGTAATCACATATTCTTGCATAAACAAACATATCATATCGAGTGCTCATTGACATATGCTGACACGAGTTCATGCAGAGATATTCTGATATGAACCTGACTAGGTGTAATAATAACTTACGCCCTAGAACTACAATCACGTGAAGACTAGCGCTATGTGCATCACATACAAGTCCTAATTGCCTATATCAATCTAGGACAAAACTGGCACCTACAATGGATCCAAAGTGAGCGTACGGTGCGATGTGAACATACACGTGAAAGACTAGCCTTGGCCCGGGCGA